ATTAAATAAGTATGATAAGTTGATAAAGTAATATATTTAACACTGAGAAGGTACAATGTTTTGTTTGAGTCATTTTAGGATATTTGGCATACAAAGTTTTTTTAAACAATATGTGGCTTTTTGATGACCAGTTTTCGTTCTACCGGACTGAGGCTGTTTTAGGAGTACTATATGTCCTTTTCAACAACATACCAGATCTAAATTTATTAACGAGTACATATTTATTACTCTTATGAGGTTGAGTAAGTTTTTATAAGAACATTGCTTATGACAGTAGGCCTACTGAATAGTTTTATGAAATTCAATTAGTTTTAGTCCTGCTAAATTATGACATAATTATAATTGTTAACTAAATAATAATCCTCTCCTACTCTCTTTACCTATATCATTAGTACTAAAACATAGTTAAACATTGTTCGTAAAGTTTTTATGATAAAACCTGAGTCAAACACTTTGAAACAGATGCCATCATAAGCCAAGTTAACAATTCAAATCTCATGTTCAATTTAGATGCAAATATTCCTCTCCAAAATATCGGATTTCACGTTGAGTTAGAATACAATATTATTATGCTATTATATTATTTGCCGCTCGTACTGAACTTATAACTTAGAATCCCTTCTCTAAACCTACACAACTTACAAAAATTATGTATAACTTTTTATCCCAAGATCCTTTTACTATATTTTATATTTTGGGCAATAAAAATGAATTTAAGCTAACACTTTGGTGAATCAGTGGAAATAATTCTTTAACCTTTTGGATATTCGAAGAATAATTTTTATTACAATTAATTAAGTTTTCATCTTTATGCATTTTCCGCTGGGAGTCAATGACAGAACAGTAAATGGAAAAACATAATGACAAATGGCAACAAATTTACAGCTGTGCAAATTTTAAAAGTTAGTCCGTCATTTTTGCAAATCACAAAAATATAAATCTGCGTGTTCGAGTTCACACTATAAGGTTTCTCAAGATTCTAACCATTATCAAGTGTCGCTCTAAAGTGTCTTCCGAAGAACTGTTATGGAAGCAGTAAATTCAGAGTATTCTCAGTATTCAGAGCCTAAACTGTCATTGAAATCTGTGAACAGACAAAATACCACAGTTGCGCTTTAATAGTCTACGGCCAGTCACCACATTAGTGCAGAACTGCTCAAACTTACTACCAAGAGACTACATAAGACTACTGTAACCCCACAAACACGTTGATAACTACTATACTATATCTTAATGATAATACATAATTATGATGATCATATCCAGATGAGTGCGTCTGTTGTTGCCTCAATAACCAAATGTTTAGAAGTAATACGGAGACATAGGTTTCTTAATTTTAGATGGTTTAGATCCTCATCAGCTCAAATTTCAAATAAAATCCAATGAGTGCGAACTATTTCTCTAAAAACACAAAAGTTATTTCTTATCTTAAAAAAATATATTAAAAGAAGCAAGAATAATATTTTAGGATAATACTAAGACTCGATGTTTTTAAATATAAACATCTTAAAATTACTATTGTGGACATATAGGAGTTCATAAATACGTTTCCATAAGATATACCAGTTTATAGTAATATCTTATTTTTACAAATTTTAAAAGGCTTAAATTTGTTACATTAATACTTTATAACTTTCTTACGCTTATGATGTTACCCAAACACTATTTACCAAACAGTCCTTATTTTTTTTCTTTTTTATCCTATTGGCTCTAAGTTCAAATTGTAACCTGATAAATCATCGATATGTATAAAGATTATTTTTTGGATATAAAATTTATGTCACAGTTAAAGACTGCAAATATCCTACCTATACCTTTTCGAAAGCTTCCCTAGTGGGCAATAAAAAGAATCGAACTGGGAATTGTGTGGAAGAGTTTGAGACAAATTGTTCACTCCCCGAGCCACCTGAGATACACTTTATGTGCCTTTGCCACTAAAGTAGGATATTTTTTCAACGAAAACTGTATATAGTAGTAGTTTATTGAATTAAATAAGATCCCCTGTTAATCACATGATGATCAAATTGTGATTACCATTTGTTTAATCTTACTTATTCAACCTTGTTGTTTTTAATTGTTTCTCTGTAAGGATAGAGTTCAAACTCTCATATTTTTTCTATGTAACGTCTAAATATTTCTATATGGATTTAATAGTAGATAGACAACAAACGTTAATGGTAATTGGAGTCCGAAGTTACAAATAAATTCACTCGTATTTGAACCATTGGCTTTCGTATTTTAATGATTATTTTAGGTAAAAACTGTGTTATCATTTAATAAATAACAATGCAATTATTTTAAACAGTTTACCATTATAATACTAATTATTAAAATAATATAAAATAAATAAAGTAGACATAGACTATATTATTTTTAATTCCTTTTTTAGAAGAATATTTTTATTTTATACCCTAAGGATGCATATTGGACATTATGCTGTGGAAAAGGATTTGTTACAAAGTTTCTCTAATGGTGGTCCACTAGTTGACAAACAGACATTGATAACAAATGTGGACAAAGTTTCCTTTGTTGACTTTAGCTGGTGTGCCGCAGAAATCTCCAGTGAAGTGTTTTCTTAGCCTCGTATCGGTTGGTTTTACAACAATCTAGAAAAGAGATCTGTCTGCTTTTGCAAATAATAAGTTTTATATATTTTTTCCGTAGGTTAGTGGTAACACATTTGAATTTTTAATGGAACTAGACCTTATCTAGCTATTGTTTTGTTTACAACAATCTAGAAAAGAGATCTGTCTGCTTTTGTAAATAATAAGTTTTATATATTTTTTCCGTAGGTTAGGGGTAACACATTTTAATTTTTAATGGAACTAGACCTTACATAGCTAATGTTTTGTTTACAACAATCTAGAAAAGTGATCTGTCTGCTTTTGTAAATAATAAGTTTTATATATTTTTTCCGTAGGTTAGTGGTAACACATTTTAATTTTTAATGGAACTAGACCTTATTTAGCTAATGTTTTGTTTACAACAATCTAGAAAAGTGATCTGTCTGCTTTTGTAAATAATAGGTTTTATATATTTTTTCCGTAGGTTAGTGGTAACACATTTTAATTTTTAATGGAACTAGAACTTATCTAGCTAATGTTTTGTTTACAACAATCTAGAAAAGAGATCTGTCTGCTTTTGTAAGTAATAAGTTTTATTTTTTTTCGTAGGTTAGTGGTAACACATTTGAATTTTTAATGGAACTAGACTTTATCTACCTAATGTTTTGTTTTTAAACAATTTTTAATAACACAGTTATTTTTAATAACATTGTTAATTATTATTTAACAGTTCATGAAATATTTACAGTTAAAAACGTGCGTTAGGCAGGAGACTCAGCATGCTTAGTTAGATTTTCTCTCTGAAAAGATCAAAGGACGGAGCTCATATTAGCTGTATTATGCTCATCTCTGCCAAAGCACAGGGAGAAATTGTTCTGTAAAATTACGTTTGGTACATCCTTTACAACAATTCGTGCTTAAGTTAGAGATTGAAGATGTAGGAGGTGAATCCAGTTACTTGCAGGTAATATGTTTCCTTCATCACTTGCTATAAAAAATAACAGTCAATATTTATTTTTGCATACAAGACCAACAATTTTTTACTGTAAATAGTTCAAAATTTCACACATAAAATCCAAATCAACCCAACTGATTCGAAAGGTTTATAAATACAAAAGATAACAGTTGTTTATACCATACCAGTTTTTAATTGAAATAAGCAGCATTTAGTTAGTGCAAAATAACCGTATTAAGGCTATATTGACTAATACGACTTCATTTTTCAGAAATAAACACATTTATTTTAGCTCTACATTGTATTAACGATATTCATAAAAAAAACCATACAATTCCAGGTAAAAGGGAAAACTGAATGGATTTCAAACTAAATAAAATATAAACATGATGTATACTTAATGAAATGTATAAATATTTGAACGTAGATCTGATGACTCGTCGGATATGTTGACTTATCCTACTAACATCGTTAGCTATTCTACGAAACTGGGCAAATGATATACAAACACGCTGGGGGATATTCCAACATTTAAACTGTTGTTTTATAAATTAGCCCAAAGAACCACTTGGAGCTGTTTTCATAACTTCTCTCTTCAGTGTATTGTTTTAAGAGAAACTGTTTGCACGTTTTGTTTAATGTAACGAGAAATGTCAGGTGATATGTTTAATTATAGTTAGAAATATGTTTAAAAGGGAAGAAAATTATGAATGCTGTTTTATGTATTTAATTTTGTATTACAAAAGTAAACTGTTAACATGAAACGTGGCATACCTTTGGGCACTAAACAATGAAAATACTTTAAAACTAATATGCATCATAATTTTATTTAGAATTATAAATAAAGTCATGTAAGTGACATAAAACCGTTGTGCAAAATACCATCAAATCAAACTCTTTTGTTCTGACTAATCAAGTCATTTGTTTTTTAATTGCTCACACCAGTGCATGAGTAAAAATACTTGGTAAAATTATTTCTACATTGAAATAAATCATCAATAATGAATGAAGCCCTTATTAAACTAACACTAGCACAGTATATATTAGGGTCTAGATATGTGTGATGGCAATTATAAAATTCTAAAAATATTAATGTATTTTAGCCATGAGAACTACATCTGTTTGTAATATATCCATACGGCTATTAAAAAGATCATCCATATTTATTTTACTAATATCTGTAAACATAATATTATATGTTAATAATACCTTTAAAACATAACGCTAAATCATTAACATAAACAAAACAAATATTAATGTTACCATAATTTAAGTCCTAAAAGGAAACAAATCGTTAATGTCAAAAAACTCGACGATTGCCAAAAAAATCACACCTACAGTGATTACAGTAATCACAACGCAATTTCCCGCATATTTTACTTGTGCTAATAACCAAACATAACAATGACCATGACTCCGAAAGTCCTTCAACTAAGGTCAAACACAGATACGAACGTATTTAACAATGTCGGTCACTCCAATGTGCAGACACAGTCATCATGGCCTCTCGTGTATGGGTAAGTTGTTGGATTTTTTCTATATTTCGATGTTTCCTCTTTAAATTGTTGTATAAGGGGTCGGGATGTACAGATATTTATTAGAAGTCAGGGTGGCTCATATTGAGAAGTAAATTTAAAATGTATAATGCAATACGTTGAATATTTAGTAGATTATATATCAACATCATTATTTAAAGTATAGAAAATAGAGGTTGAAATTCGCAAATTGGCATTCAAAGGCAATAGAGATATCAATTATCAATTATTACAAATTATTGAGATGAGAACGCCACCTAGGTGCGTATTTAAATCAAATATTACTGAAGAATGAGTGTAGAATGGCGTGTGATGGTCTGTGTAGCCTTGTTACTGACTAAGATCAGCTTTTTTATTAGCCAGGATGATTTATTAAAAGCACAATGATCAGGAGTGGGTGGGTCCAGTTTCAAACTATCCAAAAGCATACATATACCATTAGGATTACTGGATTACACCAAGGTATAACAAGTTTAATCCTAGGTTAATCGTTAATGTATTTCTTTAGTGAGAATGACCAAAAACTATCTTCAAAATTGTAACTCAAACAAAATTAAACTAATAGTAAAACCTGATTTTAAACGTTTCGATTGCTATGCACGGATGTAAACACGGTATAAATTCTCTATCGTTGATTTAGGATCTATTTTTTACCACGCAGTTCAGTTATTAGGCTGTTTGCACAATCAAAGCTAATCTACTGAAATACCAGATGTGCTGTCTGCTGTAAGCGTTTATGCAAAGTGCAAACAATCATTTGCTTGGTGTAGGGTTTTCTGCTGTAGGTTATTCAGCGTTGTACACACTCTCTCTTAGCAATCAAACCTCCTTCAACATGTGTGCTCTATTTTTTTAAAAATTTTTGTAGATTCACTCTAAAAGAATATATTCTGGTTAAAATTTTTAAAGTTTGGTTTAATAACACAATGAGAATACTGTAATGATGTATTAATTCGTTTTCTAAACTGTTTTACAATTCCTAGAATAATACGCAATTTAGGTAGCAAAAGCTCAATGGATTGCTTATAATATTCAACATGGTGGTAAATTGGTGGTTTAAAATCATCACGTGTTCTTTTAAAGCCCCCCACACACTACCAGACCAGACCTCCAGACCAGACCGTCTGGCTGCAACCAGACCGTCTTGGACGGCTCTACACACTCCCAGACCAGACGGTCCTAATTCGTAATTGAGAGACCGTGGTGAGAACTCCAACAAATGGATGAAGACTGTCACGATGGTCGGTCGTCTGACAGACAGCGCTACACACTCACAGACCAGACAAAAATAGTGGTGGGGGAACCTCAGACCGTCTGTGGTCTGAGGGTTCAACCATCAGACACGCAGACAGTCTGGTCCGAGAAAATCGGTCTGCAGACAGCCCCACACACGATAAGACAAGTGCCAGACACCAGACCAGACGGTCTGGTCTGGTAGTGTGTGGGGGGCTTAAGGTTGCATTTAAAAGTGGAAACTAGAAACCTACTTTTGAGCTGCATGTCTCTATTAATTTTTGTCTTGTTCATATTTTACTTTAAATTATAATGTTGTTTTTATTTGTATAATCAGTTATGTGAAGGTGTTTTGTGTTGATAACAATCTTGGGTTTTACTTATTGTTATATGAAATATCTGCAATAAACTATTTATATTTAAATATAATATATTTTAATTATTTAAACACTCCCAATTGTACAGATGTATCTGGGGGTTGCCTGTATGTTGGCTATAATGGTGAGTGCCATGCCTCAACGCCCTGATGGCCCTCCTTCAGGACCCCCACCTAGTGGTTGCCCTCAAGGACCTCCGCCTTCAGGTCCACCACCATCCGGCTCTCGCCCACCAGGACCTCCCCCAGGCTGTGCAAACTCCACTACTTCTAGTTCCACTAAATCGTCCTCCTCCGGCTAAGTACAGTTTCAGCAACATTCATCGTTTGGAAATATAAGTAGAATGATAATAAAGTGATATTTTATCAAAATCGTCCAGGGATTGAGATATTTTCGTAATGCAACTCCACCAACTGTTATTTTAAAAACCTACATAGCAGCCTAACTTTGACCTACCATACTAAGTCCAATTTTAAACATGAATTACACAAAATAATAATTTTATAAATATGTTTAATGATTTTAATAATAATGTATTGTAGAATTCAAATTCACTATGTTGTTGTTTTATTTATTTATTCACACAGCAAACACAATCTTTACAATAAATACACAAGTTTCAATTTGCATGACACTATGCAAATTTAGAAACAAAATTAAAAGACGACAAAACACTTTTGCTGCTATGTTGAATATAACAAATACCAAACATATTCATCTTGCTTCACCGAGGCAGTTACGCTAAAATTCTGACAAAAAATTAAATCAGAAAAGAATTTAACAGAAAAATATTGCTACAGATCAAACATAGATAGCATAATCACAAATCTGACAGCAATTTACGATTCCAAAAACTAAATAATAATTAAATAAGTATTACAATACAATAAATATCGCCAAAATATATTTAAGAGGTAATACTTTAAATACAATGATTATAAATATGGTAAAGCTTGTTATAGTATCAGGCAGTGTAGTGTTATATAGTCAATGGTAATAACCACGAATGATCCATTGACAGAAAAATTGTGATAATTATAGGCATCAACATCTATACTAAGTATAAGTATAAGTATAATAAGTCTTATTGCTCTATACGGATCAATAAACAAATAGGACCTGTATATCTATCAATACCATTATAAAATTGTCTGTCCGTCCGGCTGCCACGACTAACATACTAAACCGAAAAACCACAAATTAGGAACAAAGATTGTCCACATACCTAGGAATGTCAGAGGACTATTCACCTTCCTGAGTACCTCTCGGGCTCTGCCCCTTTGATGTCCAAGGTTTTGAGGTGAAGTACTCAAGAGTAAATATTAATTGGTCTCCAAGGAAGCATGACAAAGTTCACAATGTTTGTTTACCTTTGCGTTGACATTTGAATTCAAACAGTTAGAAATGCTAAATGTTTTACAATTTCAGACAGCTGAGTCCAGAGAAATAAAATAAAATATTTTGCACAGATATGTGGTAGGTTTATTTATATAACTAATTATAGAAACAAAGAAATATTCTATAATTGTAAGTTATGAAAATTATGTTATTGATATATTTTAATGTAAACAGTAGGACAATTACAATGAATGTCATACTATCTACAAGTGTTTGGATTAGGTGATATAGTACCTCTTCCCGTTGCGAAACACGGGTGCACCAGCTAGTGCTATATATAATTTTGCAGGAGTTTAGGAGGAGACAATTATACGTATAGGCACATATACAGTTAACAAAAATGGTAAGCGTATTACACTTAACTGTGACGTTTTTGCGTGTTATATTATACAGTATACAATCTTTGACTTTTGATACAACCTCCAGTCAAAGATACAATTCAAATAGTTCAAAACATGGTTTCTAATGAAAGCTGAAATCAAAAATCGACGCTTTATTGGAATGTCTTGAGACAAAAAAGGAAAATGGTTGGAATTAAACCTATTGTGGCATTGTTTCGTCATATACATTCTTAAAAATGTATTAAACATATACAAAATTAACGTGTAGTGCTGTATAAGCTTTGTAACTCTTAAAGATACACCACCACTATTTATTGCACGTTAACCACAAATAATACGGAAAATTTAACCGAACATGTAAATAAAAATATCGAAATCTTAAAAATATTTTACTCAAGAATGTATTTGTACGTTGCAGCATTTGCTATTATGGTGGGACACTTAGTGAAATTTATGGAGGCAGATTCAAAAAAGTGTTTGAGACAAAAAGAACGATCGTGGACAATCCTCAGATCGTTTTTGAGGATTCTACATGCTAAAGTAACTTTATCGATATATGCAACGGCTGCAATTTGTCTTTGAGCTTCTTCCGCCTATTTGTTTCTTTTGTGGAACAAGCAGGTCAAGTACGCATGGCTTATGGGTAAAAAATATTTAATTTCTAAATAATTAATCATGAAACTATAAATAAGTAAAGATACTCTACAGAATTTTCACTCATAATATAATTTAGCTTTTAAAAACAACTTTGATAAATCTATACACTATATTAATAGTCGATTCATTAAAAACAAATCTTTCAGTATGACTAGTTTTGTTTCATACACTTTAATTATCGTTGACATATTTGCATTACTTATTCGAACTCAACTAATTTGTTTTTTGTTAAGTTTCACGGTTAACACAAGTGATAAAAATTAATTACAGTTCAATATGGAACGTCTATGTTAAACCATAGTATGGTATGGTAAACCGTTATTATGTATATGCTCTTTATTCCCTTGTACAAGACAAGATGCAAAACACAACTAAATTTAAAATTTCTGTCATAATACTACAATACATTTAAACCTTGTGGATTAAGGTTTTTTTGGTTCTTTTAGGTATTTTATGTCATAAACAGCCTTGTTAATCACCGGGAAAAAGTACAAATTATTGAGTGTTCTTATATTTATTTCCATTACAGTATTATATTTATTGTCAACGTATAAAAGTAAGTGGTTCACGGTTTCATTTTTGAATGACTCATATTAAAGGGATCTACATTATTTCATAACTTTCTACCTACTGAAGAAGTGACCATTGAGAAAAAACAAATAGGTATAAAAACGAATATTTATTTTTACAAACGATAGGATCATCAGCCACAACGTAGAATTTCGAGGGATGTGCCTTGGTGAGAAAGCTCGTCAAAACGTATTCAGGCTTAACAATTCAAATCAAAGTTACATTTACATAGAAATACTCTGTCGGTTTCCAGTTACTATAATCGTTCATTTAAATAACATACTATTCTCAGAATTGTAAATTCACAATATTATCTCCGTTGAAAAACTGGGGATTTAAATGTAATTTAAATTTACTTTACAATTAACAATTTGAGTATAGTTAGCAAACTACTTGTCATTGGTTTGATAATGGAAATTATTTACCACCTTGAAAAGATATCATATTATAACATATCATATCATATATCATACAGTGACGTACAGAAGTTTAAGGGGAGATGTACGTCCCTATCCCTGTAATGTTAAAATGATGCATGCAATTGACCCATTATCTCAGAAAGTAAATGAGATACAACATTAAAATTTCTTCGCATAATTATGTATACTACAATAAAGACACCCAAGTAATTTTATTAAATTTAATCCATGGTATGGCATTATTTTAATAAATTATATAATTAAAAAACATTTCCGCTTTAATTTCTGAACAATTTTTTTTTATTATTTTTGGTTTTGAGCTAGATGACTAATTATATACTAGGGGTTGTGTATATACAGATGTTAAATACAAAGTAAAAATTTGAACCATTTTGGCCTACTATTTCCTGAGATAATGGGATCTTTATGTTTAAAAAGTCAACTTTCGGTAAATCACAAAAACGCACTCCAAACGCAGGAAAAATTGCGGACTTATACATTCCAGATTCATAATCCTGTTTCTTTTCCTTTTCAGTGTCCAGGAGATTTTTTCTTATCATCCTGCTTCTTTTCCTTATTAGACTACCTAATTTAACATGTTTGTTCCCCCTAAAGCCTCTTTTCATCCACATTTTATTTAGATTTAGTCATTTTACAAAGTAAAACTCAACTCACGTTTGCACTTTCAAAACACAACTTCCACAAATAACATAACTAACCTTTGTTTGTAAACAACACAAGCAGAAATGTCACTCAATATGTCAGGTGACATGTACAGACAGACCAAGGGAAGAAAAACATCAGTTTAGCCAACAGCATCAACAGAAATCCACGAGCTTTTAGTAATTGAGTATGTATGACAATACGTAGTTGTTGGTTGCTAGGTGACCATGAAAACATTTTTTCAAAAATTATTTCTGTATTATTTTTTATTCGAGTTTGCATGTATTATATATCATTTTTAATCACAAAATCCTAACCAATAAAAGCAATCAGAAAACAAAATTTTTCAAAATTTTAGGTTTTTGGGCGTGCATCTCCCCAAGGTAAAAACTGTTTTTCGGATTCTTAATCCTAATTTTTTCAAAATGTTAATGTAAAATGTTATGAACGTATTTTTTTAAATAAGTTGTTTGAAAATTATGTGAAAATTTATGTCATGGATTTGAAAAGAGTGTCATAATAATTATATGAGCCATAGTATTTTTTTCCGGGCAATGGCTTTGTTAGCTAGTTAATTAATTCAGTGGCACGAACAAAAGAGCAGTTTGAGGTTTTGTAATACTTCAAAGAGACTCTCACCTACACTGAAGCTGCTGCTCTTTGAAGCATGATTTTGCACACAGACTTTTGATAAAGAGAGATTTTATTAAAGCAATTCAAACACCCACCTTTGTGTCATAGCTTTAACGCGATCGAAAAAATATACATTAAAGCCATCCTTCTTTTTAAGGTGGTATGCTAATTAACATTTAATATTTTCCTTGATGAAATGAGTAAATAATAATAACGTGCCAGTCAACATCATATAGTGCCTATTATGTGTAAAGATATTGAGCTGCCAAATATGTTATGTTTAACTTAAACAGTCAAGGTAAAATGTTTTGAAAACATATCTAATAACGTATGCATAATATGGAACTTCAATGATGATGTGAGCCGATATAGGGAAGTAATTATGATATTTGGCCATAACACAAGTTAAAGATTACACTATCGTTTTTTGCAGTGTTGAGGAAATCGAGATCGCTCCAAGTTTGGGATTAAGATTTTGCTAGTTTTATAGGATCTGCAGGAAGCCCCTAATGTTTAATAGGATCTGCACCAAGCACCCAATGTTGTTTTTATCCTAGGACGCTAGGCACGAACCTGGGATTGTTTTTCACATTACTTCAGGCTAGACCTAGGGGTTGCGGCTTTATCACTTAGATTAAATCCATTGGTGACTTTGCGGGGATCGAACCCGGGACCTCAGGGACTGAAGTCCCGCG